ATATATATATATATATATATATATACAAACTGCTCTTCATGCATTTTGGACATATGCCATGATAATACCATGTTTTTACAACATGTACCATGTTAAGTCCTTGGTAGAATATTAATTAACAGAGCATCTTTCTTTTCTTAACTTTCTACATCACTTTACCCTGTAACTACCACTTACAAAGGTTATTTTTAAAAGATGTGATGTTTATTGTCAAAACTACTGCTTATGTTTCCAGCTGATCTTTGTAAATGTAGAACACCTTTAAAGTAATACCGTATTACATAACGAACAGATGCTCATATGCAGTGGTTCAGCAGAGCATCAGCCTGAATCTTGTCCAGTTTAGACTGTTATTATTACAAAGATGTAATTACATGCATTTGTCCGACACGATCATGTTCGTTTACTAAACAGAACATAGTTATGCAAAAAACAGCTTGCTTGTTGAAGGGCCATGCATCATTTCACACATCGCTTGCATTAAACACACATCAAAGCTAAGCTAAGCACTACTCGCTAAGATGGGTATTTTGACACATTTTTGTATGTACTTGCCTGTTCAAGCACAAGAAAGTCGCGGAAAGAAATTCTACTTGGGGCTCGGGCATCAGTGTCAGACTCTGTTCCATGTTTTGTGTGTGTCCTGCTCCCCATGTGCCTTCCCATGCCCTTATTTGGTTAGTTTCCTGTTCCTGTCCTGATTAGTTTATTTCATTTGTCCCAGGTGTTTCCCTTGGTTTTATTGCTCCCAGGTGTGTCTCGTCATCCCCTCCTCCTGTGTGTGTGTATAAAATGTGTTCCCAGTCCCAAGTTCTCTGTCTGCTGTTGTACGTCTTCGTGTGAACGTCTTCGTGTAAACGTCTTCCTGAGTTCGTCTCCCTTGGATCCTGTAAATAAAGTCTTGGTAAAGTATTCTCCAGCGTCTCCTCGTTCCTCGTGTGTGTGCATCGTGACAGTCAGAGACGCTGCTAGCTGTCAGTGTGCGCGCTGTACACAAAGAACACAGCGTGCGAGTACTGAATGGAGTTGTATTTCGCGCCTTGCTGGAATGCTTTTAAATTGCTTGATTTTTTTAATTAGTAAGGCTTAAAAACAGATGCAAATGATAAACTATTTTTGACGACACGGCAGTGGCCCGATCGGGCAAGTGACAAATCCGTCAACTGTCCCGAGCGTCTTTCACGCTGGCCCAGGGTATGAAGGTAAAAAAATGCCTAAAAGATTTGCAAACGCAGGGTAAGAGTTGTGGAAGTGTACATAAGACTGTAAGCGTAAATTTAATTTGTATGCGCAAGAGAAGCTTTGTAAAAGTGTAAATCGCTTTTCAAGCATAAGAAAAAATTATTTGCAGCATTTTACCGTTACTCGTAAATGTAATTCATGTTTTGTGAAACTGCAGCTTCATACTAATGCAAAAAAAAAAATATGATCTGCATTCTTCTGACTTCCATTTTTCCACGCTTACACTTTTGGCACGTTGTTTTCACTAAAATACAGTCAAAAGTACTGCAAGCCTGTGAACAGTGATTTGCAAGCGAAAACAACAGTTTAAAGAACTGCAAAACGGATTGACTGCATAGAATCAATCTGTATGTGTAAAAAAAATAAACTGTTGCAAATGTCTAAATGACTTGTTGTGCATGTGGGGCAAAAAGTTCCCGAAATGAACCGATATGGACAGCTCCGTCTTTCTTTTCTCTGCGCTTGCAATTTTGGCAAGATTCTCTGAGTTCACTCACTGAGTTTTGCAAGTGTGAGGGGGAGGACGGGTCCACCACCTTCTTGTAGCCAATCAAATGAGGCTCTCGGTGACTTTCCATTTACTCTTATCCGATTGGTTCAATAAACACATCACACGCCAAAACATTCATCTTAATTTAGTTCAGGATCGTTCTCGCTGCCTGAATGGTACTTTTAACATACACATACATTAAAAATAAATAAATAGATAACAACTTAATTAAAACATGATACTTTATAAGTTGTGTAGCCTACGATTAGGCTATGTGTTCATACTGAATTTCGAGCTGTGTAGTATCCTTTTCTGCCTCAACAGGCTATATATGATATATTAGTTTATTGTAATATTGTAATTTTGATGATACTTAAAGATGGCCTAGTATCTGCACTAGTGTAAAGGGGTCATATGATGCGATTTCAATTTTTCCTTTCTCTTTGGAGTGTTACAAGCTCTTGGTGCATAAAGAAGGAAATACATCAACTTCGCGCTGTGGATCGCTGGATCGGCTTTGACCGTGGACGAAGCGGAGTCCAGCCCGGGTTCGTCACATGTGATTTCTGCAAGCCCGCCGGCCGCGCCGTTCTCAAGCCCACCCACCTCTGCTCACTCAAGCCCACCCGCCACCGCTCACTCAAGCTGGCCTCCGCTCACTCTAGCCCGCCGTGTGTGACGCTGTGTGTTTTGTTGTGAAAGAAGTATAAAAGCGCATCCGGCAGAGCGCAAACCAGCTTCGATGAAGTAGCTCCTGCAGTATGATAAAGAGACGCAGTGTCTTGTTCCCTCGGGGAACCATGGATACATACGTAACCTAGAGACGTTCCCCTTCAGGAACTCGAGCTGCGTCGAGGTCGCTTTGGGAACGAGAATACCCACTGCGCCATACTACCAAGTCCCTGCCTGTGTGTGTATCTTG